CTGTGTCAAGGCTTACGACGAGTCCAAGACTTTCCTCAGAGAGTGTTCCAATGATCCACCCTTGAAGGAGGCGATCAGGCTTTCGCCATGCGATGTAAGCATTTGTTAATTGTGGAGTGAAATTTTCTGCGTTTTCTAGTTGGTTTCGATCTGGAGTTGTGAATTTGCTAGGAGCGGGATCTTCATTTGTGAGATGTCCGACCAATTCTTGGCTTTTTGCAAGGGCCAAAGCTTGCTCACGCCATAAGGGATAATTGTTTGGGGTGAGTCGGAGAGTGATGAAATTGCCGACATTGAGGGATCAAGTAGTCATATCTGGAGTCGATAAGCAGAAAAAAATTGTAGGAGCTGTGTTATGTTTCCTAGTGTTCACAATGGCTCTGATACCATAAAGAAAAAATGATTCAAGAGAGGTTTTGTTCTCCAGAAATACTGGAAGTTTCTGTATTATTTCAACGTGAACACTTAGGCTATACATAAGAGATATTTAAACATAATTACATTGACAGAAGGATTCAAGAGATAATAATAAATCCCACAAAATATGGTTGGTTTTTAGTCTGATAGCCGAACATCTCTCCATTTGTTAAGTTGGACAGCTTGCTTGATAACAGAGAATCCTTCCTTAGTTGAATCATCATGCTGGCTCGAGTGGATTACCATTTTGGTTTGAATTTGTTACCAGTAGATCCCCAAGATCACTCAATTTCTCTCCACTGATTGAGGCTAAATTGTGGGAGTCTTCCCCCTTATTTCTTCAACAATTTCGTGCATCCTTATCTCTCCATAGACTCCCACGGTTGTTGTAGTTAGATATGCCAGGCTATGTTATGTTGCTAATAACGTTGAGGCGAACTTATATAAATCTTGTGTTCTTATGTATTTATTTTTCTTCAAATTTATTGCTCTCGATCGAATAGAAATAGAGGTTATAATTCTTAATAGAATTGACATGCTTTGAACATATTCTTGCAAATGTGCAAGATGAATTCTGTAACGAGTGCAGAAGTTTCAAAAAAAAAAGTGCATGTCTCAATTAATATAGATGAAATGAGATTTTGAGATGGGAACCGTTGAGATGGTGAAGATGACGTAGTACTTCATTTATTGGGAGAATGTAGGAGATGTTCGAACAAAAGTCTCAACAATTGACTTAGACATAGGTTAGCTTTATGAGGGAATTGGACTTCGCCTCAAGGAAAAAATTAGACCCTCAAGATTGCCTAAAAGAATCCTCTAATGCTCAAGTGATCAGCTAGCAATTGTTACTTCTATGACTTAAAAGTTGTGACTTTCTGATCACTTGTGATTTCAAATAAATAATAGGTGTCTTTTAGTTTCAAACACCAATTAGTGTATATATATATATATATATATATATATATATATATTTATATAGGAAAAAATTAAGAGACATCTATTATACCTATTAATCTGCTTAAAAGAGTGGACAATAAGGAGAATAATTTGAATATAAGGACGAGCCTATTCCGTAAAAAATTCTACATAAGGAAAACGAATAGTGATTTAAATAAATTCTCGATACTAATGATGGCCTTCAATAAAAGTGATTGTATCTCTCTACATCACTATTGGTTAGATGAATTCTGTAACGAGTGCAGAAGTTCCAAAAAAAAGTGCATGTCTCAATTAATATAGATGAAATGAGATTTTGAGATGGAACCATTGAGATGGTGAAGATGACGTAGTACTTCATTTATTGGGAGAATGTAGGAGATGTTCGAACAAAAGTCTCAACAATTGACTTAGACATAGGTTAGCTTTATGAGGGAATTGGACTTCGCCTCAAGGAAAAAATTAGACCCTCAAGATTGCCTAAAAGAATCCTCTAATGCTCAAGTGATCAGCTAGCAATTGTTACTTCTATGACTTCAAAGTTGTGACTTTCTGATCACTTGTGATTTCAAATAAATAATAGGTGTCTTTTAGTTTCAAACACCAATTAGTGTAAATATATATATATATTTATATAGGAAAAAATTAAGAGACATCTATTATACCAATTAATCTGCTTAAAAGAGTGGACAATAAGGAGAATAATTTGAATATAAGGACGAGCCTATTCCGTAAAAAATTCTACACAAGGAAAACGAATAGTGATTTAAATAAATTCCCGATACTAATGATGACCTTCAATAAAAGTGATTGTATCTCTCTACATCACTATTGGTTAGGGTTTGGTTGTAGGTCAGATTTATAATCGAGTCATGCTATATATACAATCATTGTTGACAACATCTTACTTGGCAGCATTACATTCATTTATTTTAAAAATTATTTTTTACGTCAAAGCTCGAATTTTGACAACACATGATTATCAACCAAAGTTATCAATCATGTTTATAACCAGACCTAGTAAGCCCCTCCCTTACCCTACCCAACCGGTAAAATTGTGACACAATATTTAAAATAGAATGCTTATTATTATAACACTTGGTAGAAATGTAACCAGCAAAATAAAGTTGTGGCAGGGTTTCTTGAGCCGTGCTACATGTACAGATGAGAGGTTTATAGAGGCGGTATAGATAAGACACATGAGGTGGAGTGGGTGGTTCGTTTTTGGAGGGGAAAAAACACACACACACATGAGGCCCAGCCCCATGTGAGGGTCAATACTGACCTTTGGAGCAGGGAAGCTCGGGTTTGTTTCATAAAGCTCATTGGCCCTTGCATCGAATGATTGGATGGTAGAATTTATGACAGTATTGCCAGCCAATTACAAACCCTCAAAATTAATTACGAAAAATTTATCCAAATACTTGGCTTTGGTAGACCTGCTGCAGGAACATTAATTTTGTGGGGGCTTTTTCTAACCTCCAATAACGCGTATGAGAACATCAATTTGGTATGAAAATGAAAAAACCTCGTAAAAAGTTTCTTTTATACTATAACCTGAGCACGTGTGCATATGATTTATATAAAAAGTAAAATCAAGCAAAGTACTTTTATATAAAAAGTAAAGTACTCGTCATGATAAAATCAAGCAAAGTACTTTTGAATTGTACTAACCGTACTTGTCATGATTTTAAAATCGAATGACGTAATAAGATTATAGTAGGTAGACCGCTATTGTGAAACTATGTTAGACTTGATAACATGAGTCCTAATATGTATTTTATTATGAAGCACTCTAAAAATATCGACCTAGTTCATTTCTAGTTTAATGACAATGAACCGAACTGTATTTCGTTTTTGGCATTAGGATTTAGAAGCTAGCCTCTTGTACGAGAGGAATAAAATACGAAAACAAAAATGAAAATAAGCACGAGCAAATAAATGTATATACAATGGTTCATTTTCAATATGAGATCAAGTGAGTCACTTGCTATGAGAGATTTTCATTATCATACAGCAAAAAAAAAAATGTTATATTGGTATCACAAGTTACTTATTGCACCACATTGTAAGTGCACTCAAGGTCCTCAAGCTTTGCTTATTGTAACACTTATGTATTTAGCTTTTTCATCAAATAATTTTCTTCAAACTTCCCGTTTGATTGACATTCTTTGACCACAAAAATAAAAAATTTAACCGTTATCCATCACATCAAGCCACCATAATTGACTTTCTATTCTTGTATGAGTTTCGTAACAGCTATATTTTTCATTCTCATTCTTAGAAACATGGGAATCAAACGGTCTCATTACTAATGGTGGTTCTATTAGAGTATTCCATTGCTTATACTGCAATTAGGAAAAAAATATGTTTTATCACATTTGTATCTATTGTTTTTTATATTTAAAATGATGGACAAATAAATCTTTTTATGTACTCGTAATAGACCAAGTGGATGAAAACTGTTAAAATGGACAAGATATACTAATTAATAGAAGGTTGTTGAAGACAAAAATTTGACAATAAAATAATTAATGACATAAATGCTACAATGAGTGAACTTTGAAGATCTTGAATGCAATTAAAATATGATGGAACGTACAATTAAAAATACGGTGTGAACATAACTTTCCTAAAGGGTTTGCTCACACTTTAGATTTAGACAACAAAATATAAGCAGGGAAGGTACACTGTCCTCTCAATTCCTAGTTGACCTTACTGTCGAGGTTGACATAATCAAGCTCTGTAAAGTCTACCGAATAAAGACTTAACCATCTGGAATTCAGAGCAATCTTTAAAAATTATCATTTTAGTTTATATTATCCCTCAAAGAAGGCACGGACAAACCCTGCAAATTCATAGTCTTCTAAACTTCCAGCCTCTGTACTGTATTCTGTTTCATATCATTTTTCGAACTACTTTCAGACATAAATGCCGTTTCCTGTCTAAACTCGAACAGAAGTCATTTGCTGTTTTTGAACAACGACATGTTCTCTTAAGTCTCCATCTACCGTTTACCCAAAACAAAGAGTCCCATCTACCATTTTTCACAACTCATAAATGTGGCCTTGTTTGAATTCATTCAGGAAAAAAAAAAGTAAAAAACAAAAAATAAATTGTTTGCTGGTAACCTGTGTAATGGATATCCAATAACTGAACATGTCCGTTGTTGAAAAACAACAAGGTGTACTCTCTAAGAAATAGAATTTTGGACTAAAAGAGACGACCCTTTAGATGAAGTGATTAAAAGAGTACTGGCACCAACGTGAAAACTAATTTTAAATTAATAAATGAATTCGATCTTTATTTGTTTAAGCTTGTAGATGAGGTAGTTTAACGGTCTGAGTAGGCGTTGATGCAACGTCTCCGACCAGTGCTTTTAAAAGTTCTTATCTCGAAATATGGAGTTTACATCCACCAGTGTGTGAAAGGGCTTATTATCTTGGATGTATTATTTGATGTAGGAATTATTAAAAAAAAAGGATAAAAATAAATAAAAATATATATATTCACATATAGTTATTCACATACCTATGGCATGACTGAGTATCATTAACTGTAATAAAGATTGTTAGAAAAGTCACGCATCAATTTGTTGTTGGGAGTTGATGGATCCGAGTTTTATAAAGCCTATTGACATGCAACTTGGGCACTCCAAATACTGCTAAGTGTTTGATTTAAATTTCTCATCACATAAGAAGAAGAGTTTACAGCATAGATTACTTGCTGAATTTACAAAATTGATTACATACTCTCTCCTTATTTTTCTCTTTGCTTCTTCCCCACCCTATACCATATGGATCTTGTTCCAATGTTCTTGTATTGTATCCCACTCCTTTGTCTATTCTACAATTTTTGGATAACCTTTGAAAGAAGGAGGTATCAAAATTGTTACATTTTGGATTATGAATGCTACAAGCCAAGTGATGATAAGAAACTCAGCACGAGATTTTGCGGTGAAGTAATTAGGCGAAATAAGCAACTCGGCCTAAACGAATACAAGTTTCTCTTGAAGGCCATAGTCAGTTCAGGCATTGGAGAGGACACTTATGGCCCGAGAATGGTACTCGAAGGGCGAGAAATGTCTCCAACACTTGAAGATGCCATCATTGAAATGGATGATTTTTTTCTTGATACTATTGACAAGCTTTTCAACAAGACTGGGATTTCGCCTTCTGAGATCGACGTTCTAGTGGTGAATATATCGATGCTCACTATATGTCCTTCTTTATCTTCAAGAATTATCCATCATTATAAGATGAGAGAGGATATCAAGGTGTATAATCTCACTGGAATGGGATGCAGTGCCAGCCCTATTGCAATCAATATTGTTCAAAACATTTTCAAGACTCAAAGAAATTTGCAAGCACTTATTGTGACGTCTGAATCTTTGAGTCTAGGTTGGTACCCAGGGAAAGATAGATCTATGATTCTTACTAATTGTCTGTTTAGATCGGGAGGTTGTGCAATACTTTTGACAAATAAAGTGGCCTTGAAAGAAAAGGCCATGTTCAGGTTGAAATGCCTTGTGAGAACACACCATGGTGCAAAGGATGAATCCTATGCTTGTTGCAAACAAATGGAAGATGATCAAGGCTATTTAGGGATTCACCTAGGCAAGAATCTGCCCAAGGCAGCTACTCGTGCATTCATCGATAACTTGAAAGAAATTGCCCCAAAAATACTCCCGGTTCGCGAGCTTCTACGCTTCTCATTACTCACACTCATTCGGAAAATGACTCAAAAACACACTAAGACAGGTGCAGCAGCTAGGCCGGTGATCAATTTCAAAACTGGGATCGATCATTTTTGCCTCCACACAGGAGGAAAGGCAGTGATCGATGCAGTGGGACAGAATCTAAACCTCAGCGAGTACGACGTAGAGCCAGCCAGAATGACACTACATCGATTTGGAAACACGTCTGCAAGTAGCATATGGTATGTTTTAGCATATATGCAAGCCAAAAAAAGGCTTAAAAAGGGTAACAAAGTTTTTATGATAAGTTTTGGAGCGGGGTTTAAGTGTAACAGTTGTTTGTGGGAAGTGATGAGGGATTTGGATCAAGATGGAAATGTTTGGAAAGAATTCATTAATAACTATCCGCCAAAAACCATAACCAATCCTTTCCTAGAGAAGTATGGATGGATCAATGAGGAGGATCCAGATACGTTTCACGTCCCAGATGATTATGTTATTCCATAAATAATTTTTCTTTTTCGTGATCAATAAGATTATTTTACTGTATTGATACTGATTAAAATTAAGTCTGTAATTTTTTTTCTTAAGTGAATGCGGGTTCATAACCAAAAGAGCCTGCATGATACTTATGTTGAGCCCGCTACTTTGTATCCTGTTAGAAAACTTCCATTACAAGAGTGAAAATGTAATCTATTTTGTTGGGTTTGTTCAATGTTTGTGTTTCTTGTCTAGAAATGCAGAATATAGATTTTACTTTAAAGCTACTTATTTGTCAAACGTGTTTCCTAATATTACTTCTCATGTTCAGTCCCCCCTAGTTACTATCTTCCATGTTTTCAAATGTCACATACCTTTCTTGTAACATGTTTGGACATTAAGTACTCGTATACTTGAGAGGACGAAAATGATCTTTTTCTCAAAAAATAGCTGTAATTTTTAAAAGAGAGAATGATTTTTGACACACCTTTCTTCCATGTTTCTTGTAACATGTTTGAACTGAAATATCAGATTAGGAAAACAAAGCACTAGAATATATTGAGAGATGCTACATATACAATGGGTTATGTCAGAAAAATTGGCAGAATGCCAAGTGTCAGAATTTCATTTAACTTTGAGCAAAAAAAGATTAAAACAGCCAATCAAAATCCGTCATATCAGCATCTAGCAATTTCCTTGACAATTTTTCTGTACAAATAGCTTTATCCTCGTATATTTGAAATAAAGGTTTACAATTGTACTATACTATACCAGACCCCAGCGGTTTCACGAAAGATAATATTAAGCATTTTAGCATTATTCTTTAAAGCTGACACACAAGCACATATAGGGACAAATATTTGTATACCGACTAATTGCTTGCCCATTATTGAAAAACAGAGAAGTTGGGTGAAATTGACCTGAGTCGTTGGGTTGCTAGTATCCCCATTAATAACGAGCCAACTATGTAAGCTGCAGCAATTGCTCCATGTGAATATTAAGAATCAGTGTTTGTGCGATAAGTTGAGAGTATCGTCCCAAATGAAATAAATTTCAATTCAAATTTACCAGTTATGTATGGCATTCAAATTATATAAAACAAAATAGATTTTAATTTTGTGATAATTCTAAATTAATATAAGGAAGTAATAAAACTTTGGTTTTTGTCAAATTATGGTTGATTAAATTGGATTTCGAATCCATCTATTATTATCTATTTCAATTCTTAATTCGTAACCTAGTTCTGTTCAAATGTTCTTGACAATCAATAAAACTAATGTATTTAAATTTCTTTTCCAAAACAAGTTAATTCTATTCTAATCATGACCTGAATTTATTTCTAACCTGAATTCAAATAGTTAGAATGCATTAAATTTTAGATTATTTATATGATTGTACATGATAAATATTATTATTAACATCTGTTGCATAGGTATGCCTACCGCACACTCCATTGAACCATGTGGCTCTTGGGTCATGAAATTTTTGTCATAATTGCCAACCACGCACGTTGGTTTGTGTTGTATCATTCCTGAGCAGTTTTCGATATTTTGGTCACTTCCAATATTCAATTAAGATGATTCAAAATACGTTGGAAAGCTAACTCAAAGGCTACAATTCTTCTTGAGGTAAAATTTTTCCAATTTGAACATTTGCTATCCGAAAAGACAAAATCCAAAACATAACTTCTTCATCTCATAAAAACTATATCTTAACATAACCAAAAATTTTAAAAACACATGGTTAGATAATCTGCCTTTGGTCTTAGGATTAGAATTCCTATATTAAAACTATGAATTACTTCAAAATCACATCGTTAAGATTCATTTCTAATCATTCAATGCAAAATCGATTTGTGTGTTTGCGAAAATTCATGTCAAACATCATAAATTCATATAGTTAATCAAGTCCCGAAAGCTAATAACGCATTGTCAAATGTCTAATTCTCTAATATAAGTGTTTGTGGCTATATATATATTCTATCCATTAAACTTTCTAAATAACCAATGTAGCGAATTTTTGGCCGATGACTTTCAAATCAAATGATTTTAGGGTATCAAGTTTTAAATACCCTACAGGCTTAATCATTTAAGTCATAAAGGTGATAAAGAGATGTTTCACAATGAGACACATTTTTCTGTATTTTTTTTTTCATTTTTTAGGCAATAATTAGTGCAATGCCTCTTACTAAACACTTGTTCTCAAAAAAATCGACACATAACTTAAAATTTTTGCCTAAGTTTCATCTTATTGGCCTTAAACAATCAATACAAAATTTAATACACATAGAATCCACATTTATCTCAATGTCTCCCTACAATAGTTCAATAACTCACAAACTATTCTAAATATGGTTTAAGAATATAAAATTTAGTTGTTGTTTTGATTTAGCATCTAAAGTCCACTATATTTTTTTTCAACATATTCAAATTTTGAATCAAATTATTCCTTCATAATGCAAAACATAAATTTTATGCTCGAAAATATAAAATTTTACATGAATAAGGATAAATCAACCCTAACATGCAACTTTTTCACAATTTATAGCCATTATAGTTCCAAATATATTCATAATAATAGGCAAATTTATCTAACACACATAAGCACACAAAAGCAAAAAAAAAAAAAAAAAAAAAAAATTAGCTGAGAAAAATTGGTTTTTTTTTTTGACACTCGACAAGCACACAAACCAATAAAACCTAAATATTTTCTCAATCCCAAACTTATAACAGACATTGCCCTCAATGCCTAAAAATATGATAAGCCGTATATAAAAACTAAGGGGGAAAAAAAGGGAATCAAGTACTCCCCTGATATATATTTGTACGAGGTGGATGGACTGGTATGAAAGTTCTAGATCACTTACTATATATTTTCCCTTGTCCAATGTGTTCAGGTGTCATGTTCCTTCAAAATAATTAGAAAATCAATGATAACGTGGAACAATTTATAGTAAGCTTAGACACACCCTAAAGGAAAATATGAGGATGAAGATATCCTATGTTACTAAAAGCAGTAAAAATTACTAAACCTATATCTAATAAGCAAAATAAATGAAATAAAAAAAAAAAGGGTTGCCTCCCAATAAACGCTTATATATAGTCATTAGCTTGACTTTGATATTCTGCATCATGAAATTCTAAAGAAAGCTATTAATGATTTGCTTGGTTTGCTTTTTCTGACTTTGATCCACATTTCTTCGATTCTCCAAATCTTGAACTTGCTTTCTTTAGTATGATATGACTTGCCAATTCGAAATCAACTATGTAGACTTCTACTTCCTCGAGCTTTATTACAAATTCAATGTTGGACAATGGATGACCTCGAAAAAATGTGTGTTAATTTCACCACCATTAATTGTCACTTCTTCACTAGGTACCTTTATAATTAGTTTGTGATCTTCTTTATACACTTCTTCAATAATTGATATCTCATCGAGTTGAATAATTGGTTCACAGTCTAATTCATCTACAATGGTAATTCTTTCATTTCAACATTTTCAAGTAGATTGTATCCCCACCTTTTAAATTCGTCCCAGAATACGGAATCTCCTATATAATATTTTGCAAATGCCTCCTCGTAAATACCAATTCCCTCAAGAATGATGTCACTGTGTGTTTGTGTAGATATATATTCGCCATCAGGCTTATAGCATTCATCAGATTTATCAATTATTTACTTTCGACATTTTAAATGTTGTTTAAACCCTTGAAGTTTGGACATAAAGGAATTAGTGCATGTATACAAGCATTGCCCAATATAATGTATCCTATTACAAATCTCACAAATTATGTATTCTACAAGCATATCCTCATTATACATGTTGAGATTACTTCTTGCAAAAAAATTAACTCATTTGCCATGATCAAGATCCTCTATATATTGTTGAAAAGTACTTGAAAGCATACCAATTACAAAAGAAAACAGGGAGGGTAGCCAAAATTATCACAAAAAAATAATAATAATAAAATAAAATTTAAATCCTATATAAAATAATAACCTCAAAATATTCCTCGACAAAGACACAAAAAACTTGTTCGTGCGAAACTCGCAAGCATACGCAATTGTTGACAAGTAATTGTAGTGATAAGTTGAGAGTATCACCCTAAAATGAATAAATTTCAATTCAAGTTTACCAGTTATGTATGAAATTCAAATTATATAAAATAAAAGAGAATTTGTGCAATTATTCTAAATTAATATACGAAAGGAATAAAAATTTGTTTTTTGTCAAATTATGAGTAAATGTATTGGATTTCGAATTTGTCTATTGGTATCTATTTTAATTCTTAATTTGTAACCTATTATCGCTCATGCGTTCTTAAAAATTGATAAACCTAATGTTTTTAACTTTCTTTTCCAAGACAAATTAATTCTAGTCTAATCACGACCCGAATTTATTACTAGCCCAAATTCAAATGGTTAGATCACATTAAGTTTTAGATGATTGCACATGTGTTAAATGTTATTCCTAACATCTATTGTACATGTTGTGAATGAAAAGTCCATTAAAGTTTATTGGTGAATAACATTTGTACCCCTGTAACCCTAGAAATTATTACCATTATATCCTTGATTCTTACCTATAAATATAGGGTTTTGGTTTTCAATAATACACACAAAAAGTTTATTGAGTTTTCTCTATTCTCTTTTCCTCTCATTTTATAACACGTTATCAGCACGAAACTCTTAGAAAGTAGTAATTTTTTTTCATAATATCTATCACGTATATCAAAATTAATTTGATAATACGTGAATTTTACATATACATATGTTGAATCTGCAATACGTGATCTCATCTTTCTCGATCATTATGTTTTCTTTGTACCTCTCTTTGAATTAATTAATATTTTTTTCCTTTACATCAATCCACATGCATTTTTATGGAGATATATTTATGTTAAATCAATTAATATGCATTAATTCATATTCCTATACCCTCCTTATATTTAGATTAGCCATTTACGTTCTGCACATGCTTATAATTTTTTTTGTTTAATTGGTCAATGTCCTTTGTAAGCAAGCTTCAATTTCAAATCTCTATTTTGGCTGATTACATATATATATAATATACAATTAACAAATAATTGTACCAAACTTATCTTTTCTCTCAAATCCATTGGTTTATGCAAATTTCATGCCTTAATTGGTTAATACTAATTCAATTCTTTTAATTGCACATAATTAGAATTTCGTGCCATAATATGTGAATAGGTTTCTACATGTCACCAAATT